CTGATTCAGGTTGAGCGTTTATACACGCAACGTGTATCAACGCGCAATGCATGTAATTTTTTAAACTGCATATTTATTTTCTTAGCAAACACGGTTTTCCACAATCAGAAATACAGTTAATTCAATACCGATTCAGTATACCGATAACTAAGGCAAAAATCATCCCGATTCCGCGGTAATACAACCTGTCCTCAAATATATGTTTTTAAAAAATAGCTTGAACGGTAACTTGAGAATGATTCTTGCATGGGCTTGATTCGCTTAAATATTTTTCTATAAATTTTGTAATGAACTGAACAAAATTTTTTTGGCAAGTAAAATTTGTACTTGTGTGTCAAAAAACATTTTTCAAGCATGCTTTTATTGCAAAACTTGCAAGAAAATAAATAATTTTAATCAGTCCACTCTCTTTATAGTCTTGTTGAGTAGACGGCGAGCATGCATGCATTTGTTCGGTATTGGCCAATTGCAAATACTTAATTTTAAATCAATATTTGGAAAGTATATAGGCGAGGGATTGCTGCATGCATGCATGTATTTCTAGTTTAAATGCACTTAATTATTATAACGGACATTTTGCGATTGCAAGCGCTTCTCGCGGCCAATTTTTTGCGCTTTTCTGCCTCGCATGTCGTCTGCATGGCTTGCCCGTGATGCTGGGCAGTAAAGACGCAATTGCAAGCCATAGCGCTGGCTTACGAGACAAAAAAGCACGTAAAGGCCTGTTTAAACGGATCCAACATTGTTGGACCAACATCATCCAACAATGTTACTATACTAGATATGACTGCTTCTCTTTCAAATCTTTTTGGTTAGATAAGCTTTACTCAAACCCTAAACCTAGTCTTGACAAAATGTTTGAAAAAGAAGCCGTTTGAGCCATTATTTCAACAATGTTGGATGATGTTGGCCCAACAATGTTGGATCCGTTTAAACAGGGCTTAAGATCTTATACCTGAGTCGACATGAGGCTTCTTCAATTGCTGTAAAATATCCTGGATAAATTGGTCATTACCTAAAATACCAGAAAGTAAGTGCTCGCACATTTTTTTCCAAAATTAAACAAAATATTTCGATCCGAGGTGCGTCCGATGTTTGGTATGTTTGGTTTTTATCACATGCCATTTCGGTAAAATACTAAATAGTACTGAAGAATTTTATACGCATTTTAGTATATAATTTCTTGTTTGGATAACGAACATTGTAGGACTTGTAGCCGCCAGCATACTACACAAACAAACAAACTTAGGCTTTAATTGAAGCTAAAAAAATTCTATACAATATTCCCTTATTCTTGAAAAGAGAAAATGCACACATTCTGCGAAAACATTAATGCCAAGATTAATGCCGAACAAATGTCGGCGGCCATCTTTCTTCTCTTCCACTTTGAATACAGAATGTTCCATTTTCATCACACAAAATAAAAAAATAATAGTTATAAAAACAGCCGGGAAATTTGTTGCGCATGCGCCAGAGACAAAGACAAAGTAAAATGTACTCTACGCTTCCAGGGTATAGAATATCTCGTTTGTTTTTGAACAGCAATAGAATATTATAATCTTGACACAAACAAGACTAGACATTTGACTAGCTAAATCTGCAGTCAGGAGAGGAATGAAGGTTTTCCCGAAATGCAACGCGCGAATCAGTGCGGCTCATTATTATTCAAGATATTTATTCTCAACGTGCCGTTCGATTAAAAACTGTTGAAATATATTGCGATTTTTGCTGTGAAGACCTCGTTTTCCCAAAGGTATTTTTTGATAACCTTTTTGTTTAGTAATTTAATAAAAGAAGTTTTGAATAATTTTGTATATATATCGCATTTTACTTATGTTAAATTCCCATTGTATTTATGCATGTTTTGGGTGTTGGAAAAGTGGCATTGATATATTTTGGAGTAAATTGTACTTTTTTACAAGGAAACTAAAATAAAATCACATCAGCGAATTCAGGAATGTTTGCTCTTTATAATTATTCATACTTTAAAACATGAATTTACTCGATAAAACCGAAGAGTTATCGCGGTTTGAAAATTAGCTATTTTTGCTAATTGTCGAATATAGCAAAAATAGCTCATTTTCAAACCGCGATAACTCTTCGGTTTTATCGAGTAAATTCATGTTTTAAAGCCCACGAACGCGGCATTCTGATTGGCTGTTTGCTGTTGGATTCTATAATTAGGTCAGTGATTCATCACAAATGCATATAGACAAAGGCTCTCCATGAGCTTAAAATTCGAAATTTGATCACTTTTTTCGATTACAAACGGAACAAGAACAGAATGTTGCATGTATAATAGTTAGTAGAAGTATATAGGATTTAAATTACTTTGTAATTGACACGTAATTCAGTCTCCGGACTGCGATGTGAAAATTTTAATAAACTTTTCCTCTCTCTCTGTTTATTGTTTACTTGAAGGAAGAGATGTTTTTGCCGTTATGCCAATGAGGATTGCTTGTCGTGAGGTGTTGGAATAGCAACATTTAATACGACTAGGGTAAACTATAGTAACCTTTACTTGAGTTTCATTAATTTCAAACAGACTTGATACGTTATATGTTCCTCAAGAAAATTATCTTTTGGTTGATGTTGAGATGCAGTTGCATGTAAGCCTATTCAAAATACTTTGCGATTTACAAGGCTTCGCTGAGAGAGCACAACAGAAGACGGTATTAAATTGCCGTTTGAAACGAAACGATCTGGGCTCTGAACGCTCTCTTCTTTTGTAGAGTTCTCACCAAATGAAATAACTGAAATAAATTTCGTACTTTCCGCCGCCAACAAGAATGGCTGATAAGTGAGACAATTTATTTATAACAATGGCGACAGCGTAGCACACATTATAAATTCTGATGTAGTCGCACGACTTCCCTCACGATTTGAAGTTTGAGACTGGTTTTCTGTTGAAATTCGTCTTAATTTGCCTGTTCCGATTTTAGTTCAAAATGAGCACCGGCAAATTTGGCAATTACTGACGGCGTTGCTTGCTTTTTTGGAGTTAAAACGCAGTCATTTAGACATTAATATTGTTTATGTTCTGAACACTTCTGAATAAGCAGAGAAAAGCCCGCAACATTTTAATGCGAGTTTGTTTGTTAATGTTTGGGTGCTGTCATTGGTTCTTTTTTGACAATTGACGCGCGAATGGGGCGTGTTATGAAACCCTTTTCGTTTTACAAAATACCGGGCCTTGCTTGCAGGCCCACTATCAGTTCCCTTGGGCCTGCTCGCGGGCTAGAGATATTCAAGATCTTGTGGATATGAAATCTAGAATCTTTGGCCAAGCGGTGAGTAAATATATGATTGAATTTTTTTTCTGTGTTGGTGTAGTGTACTCAGGTGAATATGATATTTCTGGTGTTACTCTGAGTGTATATCCACACCGGGCGAGCTTGAAAAATATGCCCAGCCACGGTGGGATTCGAACCTACGACCTTTGGAATACTAGCCCAATGCTCTTCCAACTGAGCTACGCGGTCAGGACGGTTCGAGTAAGTGATATTTCGGAACAGAATCTAGTTCCTTCGATACCAATGTATTCTAGTAATATGATTTTTTTTTCTGCATTGGGATTTTTTTGCAATTTAAGAGCATTGGGCTAGTATTCCAAAGGTCGTAGGTTCGAATCCCACCGTGGCCGGGCATATTTTTCAAGCTCGCCCGGTGTGGATATACACTCAGAGTAACACCAGAAATATCATAAAATATATGATTGTTTCGGTTTGTGTAATGCTCTGACGGCACTTGACCCCACGTTCGAAAGGTTATTTTATGAGGATTTCAATGGTGGCTTTTATTTAACAGGGGGGGGTAAATACTCGCCGAGATTGTGTCGTAATCTGATACGAAAGGGGGTGGTCGAGAAATTAAACAAGGAAAATATCCAAGAAACGCTGGTAAATTATCATTGTCAATAAACATTTCAGTGCTGAGGCAGTTGCAAGGCCTCAATTAAGGCCAACGGCAAGATCAAGTTGTCGATTTCATTATACATTTTACAGTCCATCGAATGTTTTGGAACTCTTGCTTCATACAAGAGCAGTAAACGCAAGCATTTCAAAGCGAAATTAAACGCAAAGGGGCAATTTTTCAACAAAATTCATTGTTAAATTATGTTTCCTATGTGCCTTGGGAAGAAAAAATATGATTTTATATTTGGTCGAATCGGTAATATTTTTTGCAATTTGCCCTGGAGTAGGTTACCCCCCCCCCCATATAGCGTTCAAAGGGATGCCGCCAATGACGTCATACCATCAATGACATCACCGAAAATACTTGCATAAATTATGAAGTATGCACGTTCAGCTATTCCCGCGTAAATTATAAAGTATGAACGTTCAGCTATTCCCGCGTAAATTATGAAGTATGAACGTTCAACTATTCCCGCGTAAATAATGAAGTATGAACGTTCAACGGTATGTATTCGGTTTGTAAGCATTACGTAATTGTATTGCACATGTCTATAAATGAGACCTCGCGTTTATTCACTGATATCATTGCATACTAAGCCTTTGAAAATGAATTTTTCACAAAAATTTGAGCAATCGAATTGGGCCAACAGTGTTCATGCAGACGAAGTTTCGTCCTCTGATTATAAAAGGCTTTTCAGTTTGTTAGAGGCTATATATGCAGAGGCTGTTGCTTACGAAGTTGGTAAACTTACTAAAGAGAGATGTTGCGGTACGACCATCCGAGTCAACGCCAGCATGATTGTCTCATGTTATCAGAACAAGAGAGATGGCAATCGTATGGTTTGGAAGCCATAGAGCGAGTGATTGTTAAGCGTATGGTTTGGAGGGAGTTTGTTGAGGCTATTAGAGTGATGAAGTTACAGTATCATAAAGATGTTCGTGAGCACTTCGACAGTCTAGAGAAAAGTCCTGATTCCACCACGTTTGTTTATTCGCTGATGGATCTTCGTGAAAACACCGAGGATAGTAAATTTGAGTCAATTTTGAATTATTTTTCATACTGGAGAGAGGACAAACTCTGAGGACATGCGTGAACAAGTTTTTGACGTCACAGGAAGTGGTCATACTTTAACAATATATAAGAGTGAGATCGTGCGCCAATACTTCAGTTTACGCCAACAGAACTGTACAATGGAGTGCTTACATGGAAAACCTGCTGCTAATTCCACAACAAGCAATGGATCATTTTGGTTTTGCGGTCAAAATCCCAGTTGCAATTTCTTCTGTACAGAAGACGAAGGCTACATGTATGAAAAAGCCATAACAGCTTGGAGATGTACGGAGCAGCCTCATCCTCGGTGCGATGGACATCATAAACTTGCGAAAATGTGTGTGGTGAAAAATTTGATGAATGTGAATTATGGAAGACCATTCTTCGTGTGTGGAGAAAAGGCGAAGCCGTGTTCCTTTTGGATGTGGGGTGATGTACAACCGTTAGCGAAACCCGAGTGCCGTCATGGATTACCGTGTGCGATTCGAAAGGTGAAGAAAGAAGGACTCAACAAAGATCGATTGTTCTTCTGTTGTCGGAATGATAAGGAGAGTACGTGTCGGTTTTTCGAGTGGGCACCTGACGGAGAATTGGGATTTTTCCAAACTGTAAACTTTAGTAACAAACCTTTAGAGAAGCAAAGTTGTAATAAAAACAATTACTTAGCAACTAAATTCATGCATGATTTTGCAAACCAGTTACAGTTGTAGATTACGTGTATTTTTAATAAAATGTTTTGGCTGTTGTATTCATTTGTTGTTTTGCTGCGATGGAAGTAATATTAAATGAGTTGCAGAAAAATGGCGTTGACATTGATATGAGAACATTATCTCATCATGTCAATGATCTGATTGAGCGTCACGAATTATTGTACAATCAAATGATATTGAATGTTAATCCTAGTAAAAAACATGTTGTTTTTAACACGATCAATGTTACTAATTTTGGCCGTGCCATGGCCTATCTGGCATTAGTTTATTTGATACATGCCTCTGAAGATACTACGCGTAGGGCCGTTCGTTTGGTTGCAGCCCCTCTGAAACGTTTTGATTTTAGAGCATTTTGGATCGAAGAGAGTTTTTTTCCGTTGAGTGATTTCTCGGATCTGGTAATAAAATGAACGAACACGTCAAATAATAACGCAGTATGTGTTGTGCACATGAACACGATGGACGTGAGATTTCGAACTCCTGCGAACTATTATATTTGTGGTCAGTCTCAAAGCGGGAAATCGCATCTTGTTCGTTCCATGCTGGATAATTTGGAAGAGCTATTTTATCCTGTTCCGACGAAGATTTTGTACTGTTATGGGGAACATCAAAAAGAATTTGATGACCTGTCCCAGAGACTATCAAACATCGAGTTTGTGGATGGTTTTCCAAATGACTTGTATGCTATGGTAGAGGGACACGATAACTCGCTAGTAATTTTGGATGATTTAATGTCCCAATGTTCAAATGATACACGCGTCTCGGACCTATTTACACGCGGCTCTCACCATATATCTGTTTTATTCCTTACCCAAAACCTTTGTCCACCCGGTAAATTGTCGCGAACGATCAGTCTTAATTCCCACTACTTGTTGATATTCCGAAATCCACGCGACTCACTTGGTATCTCAACACTTGCCAGACAAATGTTTCCTAAACATACCAATTACCTTATGGAGTCGTTTGAAGATGCTACGAGTAAACCACATGGATACTTGATGATTGATTGTCATCAGTTGACACCAGAGAACATGCGATTGAGAACCAACATTTTGCCTGGGGAGAGACAAATTGTCTACGTAAAACGTACTTAAGCTACGCATGTTTTGGAAATTCATCATTTGTAAGATGTCAAAGCGCATGGGAGGAAGTCTTCCCCATCTTCAAGTCATGGTGAAATCTAAACCTAAATTGCGAAAATTGCTCATCGACAATGTTCCTGCAAATGTTATCACGGCTATCTGCGAGTGTTCCCTGAATTTACTTAAAGGCGTAATGCCACTAACGCCGCGTCAAAAGCGACGATTGGTGCGCTACAAGACACATCTCCGTGCTTTAGCGAATAAGAAAGTGTCAAGAAAACAGAAGAAGAAGCACCTTAATCAAAAAGGTGGGAATTTATTGACTGCTCTCTTACCACCCGTATTAAGTGTACTTAGTAGCTTGTTAGTAAAATGAAGCATGCAAAACGAATGGTGTTGGTTCCCGAAGACGTGCTTAACAGATATGAGCAGAAGCAAAAGCTTGAGACTACCCCTATTATGACCAACATGATGCATCAAGATACCGGGATGTCGGAGATTCTTCAGAGCGCGAGTATGCCCGATGCTGAAAAACAGAAATTGTACAATGCGAACATGGAAAGTTATCTGAGTTTGAGACGTCAAAAAGATGGTCAAATACGTACCGTTCGGATAGCTCCTGATACGGAACAAGAGCCTGAGCCCATAGAAAAAGCAAGGTTATCTGATACAGACGTGGTCGAGCATATACCTAAAACCATGCGTGCAAGAGCTACAGCACTGTTACATCGATTGAAAGCAAGACCTGACGTTATTTCTTGGGATTAGTCTGGACAAGTTAGCCTGGACGGTAAAGAAATTCCCCATTCCAACATATCTGATTTGGTCAGTGATGCCTTGAGGTCGAGAAGAAATTTTAATCCTACTGGATCAAGAGAGTTTTTTCGTGCTTTATCCAAGATGAACATGCCTAAAGATCTCGTAAGGAATGAGGAGAGATGGAAACAAATTGATATTTCACCTGATCCCTTTAGCCCACAACGTGCAAGTCCATCGCAATATTTTCAAGATCTTCTAAAGCGACATGAAGGGGGAAAACAAACTGAAAAACGCTGGCATAATTATTAATCATGTAACTGTTCTTTTCAATAAAATATTTTTCACCTGTCATTGGTTGTCATTATTGCTTATTAGTTTTGCGCACAAATCAAGACACACACACAATATTGATTTCTTACTACATTTATTGAATCATCTTTTTACTAAATTGATTAAGGTTATTTATTTGTTTTACTATTACTTTGAAATGATTTTTAACAAACTGAAACACTCTAGGGTCGTTTAACATAGTATTACTATCAAATAACTGTACGATCATATTCATGCTTTTCTTCTTGCTCTATGACTAAGGTAAAATATGCAATACTGACCACACACATCTGACCAAGCACTTTGTAATTTACGTCTATTAAAATCCCATGCGTAGGAATGTTTATCTAAAAAGTCTCCAAATGAATCCCTATAGTAATCTGGTGCATGTCCGTAACTGTCAAAGAATTCTCCTTTCTGTTCCGATGGGAAGTAGAAGGCGATCCAATGCGTCCCAGGTTCACAGCTTCGGTCCGTGTTCGCAACGAATTCACAGGGATATCTGTCGATCGTCTGGGGTAACTTATCGCTAGGAAACACACCGCAAAACTTCTTGCTTGTTACAGGATCTTGTCCTAGCGCATGCGTTATTTGAGAAGTGTTCATTTAGCCAGAATAATCGTAGACAACGTTTCTCTCGGAATCAATATGAATGGTATTCTCGAAATCTCCGTAGCACACGAGACTTACTGCGACTGTGGGTGCTCTGGAGAACTGGATATCAATGGCCAGGTTTCCTTTTTGCACGACGTTAAAATGAGGAGATACACCACACATATCAGGTGTTAAATCAAAGGCGTAAACGGCGTAACCTTTAGGGAATTCTTTTCGGGATATGTCGTTCCCAGTGTTGTAATACATTTTTCCCGTACCAGAGAACAGCGTGCTGAATGCTTCGATGTATCTAGGATTTGCACCAAAGGAAAGCTTCAAGGGTTTGAATGGCATTTCTTCACCATTCACGGTTATTCCAATGGAGGATACGTTGAAATGTTGAAAGTTGTAGGGATTCTTTTTGAAGGCACCGTTAAACGCCTCGCTCTCAACCAATCCAAAGACAAATATTTTCGGTACAAGTCCATTGAACATGTTGTCTTTTCTCAGAGAGGGGTTGCCTGCGGAAACGATGAAGCTCTTGCATTCGACTCGACGAATGGGATAGATGGATGGTCCTTTTTTCAATGTAATTTCGTGGGCCACGGAAATGCTCGGACTGACTTTCACTTTACGTATCTTGAGATAGGCGTCGGTGAGCTTCACTCTGAAATGAACATCGTCCTCGGAGGCCATCAGACAGAACTCGTTGCTGCTTCGATTCAAAATAACTTTCAGATCTACGTAACTCAGCAGGAGACGCTCGGTCATAAATACATCGCTAAATATAGGTCCAGCCATTTCAATAATTCCACTTGTCTTGCTGAAAACGTATCTTGCTCTAAGACCCGCGTTGACTGCGTCACGTGCTGTGGTAGGATTTGCGATGTCCATTGTTCCCGCAGTGTCCTTGTAAAACAGAGCTGCGGTGAGCTGGGAATCTTTTGTTGAGGGGCCATAATTCAAGAGGGTTTCCAGATAAGCACGGTACGCATACGTCCCTGAGTGACTTGCTTTTCTTTCAGAAAGACTTCAACTTGTTTGAACATGCTGTGTAGGAAATTGTTCACAACGTCAACCTTTAACAACAACAATTTTTTATTACACTCTTGAAAATTTTGATAATTTAATATTTACAAATAATTATAAAGAGCTAAAAATGCCTAACCTTTTCGTCTGCATCAAGATTTGCACCATTAGCTTTCGTCACTTTTGCTCCCACTACGAGGATTGTTTTAGCAAGATCGACGTAATCTTCAGTGCCTGGAGACAGGAACGAAATGGAACCTCCATCAGCTACACTGCAAACAGGTTGATGATCTATCCAATGTCCTTTTTCTAAACTGGTCTGTGTCGAAGGTACAGAGAATAGATCGAGTTCACTTTTTGTGCATTCTTGCGACTTAGAATGAACGAAATTCATGCTTTCAATCGAATATGTCTTGAGCTGTTTTCCGTTTCTTGGTCTGATTGCTTCTGGCTGTAGCTGTTGATGCCTTTCTCTTTTTAGCTGTTCCCTTCGCACATTTTCCACTTCCTGTTTGACTCTTCAGCTTATTTATAGCTTTTCTTTTCGCAACGTTTGCAGCCTCCACGGTTCGTGCTTTTGCTGCTTCTTTTACGTTTTTACCGGCAAGAACATCACCCACAAAGTCAGCGCCACTTTTCAGGGCAATGTTACCAAGACCTTTTGCTCCGCTTTTCACCATGGGTATCACCGCTCTTGCCACGCTGCGAAACAGACCCCCGATTCCATAGCCCATCTGGTGACCATATCCGGCTTGCCAAGGGCTACCTGAGAAAACAGGCATCCCGTGCCCTTGCTGTTGATCCAAATAATAGCGTACGTAAGGATTATTCATCTTTTCAGGAGAAGTAACTACGCTGTCTGAAATGTGGTGTCGTCACCTCCTTGCCACGTTCAAATGGCACTGGATCGCCTGTGTCGTTCCTTAAAACTATTTCCACATCTTCAAAAGATTTAGTTTGGACTGGAACGTATTGTATGTTTGTGAACGTTTTAGTAATGACGTCACCCAACTTTCCTTGGACGGGAATGCTTCTGAGTAATTTGGCACTGGTATTTCCGACAACTTGAGGTTGTACAATATCGCAATATACATAGATAGCCATGAATCCATGTAAGTCAGCTGCATAAGGACTTGTTGTCGTTTTCACTATTTTCGTTTCTTTTCCGCCAAATCCCAACACGATTGACAGTTTGTTAGTCAAAACCAATGGACAACTTGCATGTTAGACTAAATTATAATCTAAGCAGAGAAAAGGGAATCAAACACAACAGCTAAAAAGAACATACTGAAATTAGTAAAAGTGCAAAATTTGGTTGCGAAATGTTGTAAAGCTTGGAAAATATAGCCTTGCAAAGTTTGCATATTTTCAGTATATTTGTATTACGAGCGGAAATTGTTACCATTTTCGGCTCAAAAATGGTAACAATTTCCGCACGTAATACAAATATACTGAAAATATGCAAACTTTGCAAAGCTATGTTTTCCAAGCTTTACAACATTTCGCAACCAAATTTAGCAAGTTTACTAATTTTAATAAGTTCTTCACGGAAATTTACTTTTTTTTGGCCTAGATCGGTTAGATAAAAAAATTGTCCAACATGCAAGTTGTCTATTGATGCTTGTTTTTTAAATGGACCGTAACTTTTTCTGTACGAACATTGAATGTAAACTTAATGTTATCGCTCACATCTTTTGCCAGAGTTTTATTAACAGATTTCACCAGATCAGGCATTGTTTCATAAAAGCCATAATCGATTATGGTAGTACTGAAAAGACCACTCTGATCACTGGTATAAATGTGGGTATCAAAATTATTACCAAGATTGTACCATGTCCGAGGGTAGTTTATTGAATACAAACCCACTTCCCATTCACCACTCAAATTAATAGCTTGAGGTAATTTGACTCGATAACTTGTCGTCTTGTTATCGGGAAAGATGTCTGAGGATGCATTGCTAGGAAGCGTGAGGTAAAAATGTGTTCCGCTCATTGTGAGTTACAAATGAAAATAACAAACAGACAACACGTTCAATGGTTTAAATCTTATTTATTTCAGAAGCGGATACCCATGAATTAAATTTATTTGGGTACCCTAACCATTTTACAAGATAATGTACGTTATTGCCACGTCCACGTTTCTTCAAGATTTTCCCAATTTCGTACACGTCATCTTCTTTGATCACCTTTTGCAGCTCTTGTTCGTAAAACGTTCCTTTGAGTTCTTCACCGTCCAGATCCTTTAGTTTGTACACTGGAGGATTGCGAGGTATTTGCTTGCTTATAATAAAGATCTCTTTTGAGAAATTTGGCAAGTACCCTTTTTCGAACGTTCGTTTCATCTTGCTAATTCTAACTTGATCACCAATCTTAAACTTGTACTTTACATTTTTCACGGCGTCATGATCATACAGAGTGTGCCACACTTTCTTTTCGTTTTCAGCAATTACTTCCGCGGGTTTTGTTTTTATGCTACGGTGAACACTATGATTGTAAGAATATACCAAATCGGGTAACATGTCCACATATCTCATGGTTTTCTTGGCAGTAAAATAACGCCACATTTTGGTCTTCGGAGTACGAATGAGACGTTCCACGATAGAAGCTTTCGTTTCGTTGTACGTATTGTACAGTTCGATGTCTTCTTTTTCATCAACGCTCGAAAATGTTTGTTTAAAAACTCTGTTCCTTGATCGGTCATGATCTTTTCAGGTTTGCGTCCAGATGCCAAAATGACTTTGAAAGCTTCGACCAGTGTTGGACACGTTTTGTTTTTCAACGGGACTACCCATGCATATTTGGAAAATACATCGACGCACACGAGCAGATAACGGTAACCGTCATTAAATTTTTGCATGGACTGCATGTCTGCCAGATCCATTTGCCATTGCTGATCGATACCGCCTACGATGACGCGATTTCGTCTGAAGTGACGACGCATGGGTTTATGTAACATATACGCATCCTGTTTCATCAACCATTCATTAATTTTCTTACGACGTATCGCAAACTTTCCTTCCTTTTTGACATCATCATACAAACGATCCACTCCGCCAAATCCTCCAGGACATTTTGGATCATAATAGACGCTAGATAGGTATTCATCCATGTTCACACATGAAATGAAGGATTCGCTTTATTCTTCAACGTTTTGAATGCTATCTTCCTTTGGCAACGTATTTTCAAGAGGTTTGTCCCTTGTTAAAGTATTTTCAACGGGTTTGTAGTTCTTAATGGTTTTACTGCTGTACCCCGCCTGTAAATGTCCCTCAACATTGAGATCATTTCGTCAACACTTATACCGATTCTAAACATTTTCTGTTTATTATGATCTTTGTTAATCTTCGGATTTTTGCTGGCAGTGCGTCCCATGACGTACGCTCTAGTATGAAAAGATTTTTATAGGTACGTGCGACTTTAAACGTTGTGCACTTACAAGAAACGGTCAACATTCAAGTGAAGATCAAATATGCTTCGTGCTGAGCCTATCGACATTGACAATAAGGAATTAGTTCTCCATCATCGCCAAAAGTTTATCGTAAAGAAACTTGTGAAAATTTCAGCTGAAGAAATAGCTCCTATCATCTCTCAGCTCGTTGTTGAAAATTGTAACGGAT